CCATCTCACTAATCGCCAAAGGGTTGAAACAGGAACGCACACAACAGAGCACCAGAGACAAACCACTTAACTCAGACTGACGCCAGCTCACTAACCGTCGCGGGAGACCCCCAGCTAACACCACCTAGCAGCACAACTCGTAATTACAAAGCATGCGCGCGCAACAGGTCATTTCCGGTTATTTTTGGGTCCCCCTCTTATACACGCACGCGGCCTATACATGCGTAAATACGGTATTCATCAGGCAGAACGGCAATTAGTTGTAACACACTCTTACTGTAGTTAGTTAGTTATTTAGAGAGGGTGGGTTTCCCTATGCACCGCGACCAGTTTGATCTATTGTGCTTCCCTCTATGATATTCTACCAGTCTCTTTACCCTACCGATAAATGGTGCGTACCATCAGTCCCGCCGAGCAAGCGAGTTCGGCCACTTGCTTAGCGGTGTCTATAATGCTTCCCCCATCTATCAGAGGCCTTAGAGGCTATTGTTAGGCGGGAAGCGTCCTGGAATTTGGCTCAGTGATCCCCTTTGGGGATACGAGGTTCTTTTACTTGCCGTAAAGTTACGACACGGGGACACACAGCTTAAAGTCCCTCCCGGAGAATCTTGTTCCCTTAATTTTTCCGCCCTTAAAAATTCGACGACCTCCGCCGGGTATTTGAACCCGCGTACCACGAGTCATGAGGTGGGAACGTTACCTCTATACTACGGAGGCCGCTTCACTCTTACTGTAACTATAACACTTCATAACTACAAACACTGATAACGCTCTAAAGGTTATTGTAAGTACACCACACAAAATAAATATTTCAATTCTTCCATCTTCTATCATATCTGTCATCGTCTGTTCTCTTCCAGAGGTAGGCTCTTGTCTAACCATATGGAGATCATCTCCTTGAACAGTAAAGTTATCTCATTCTTTGCTGTTATTGTGCTTTGGAAGTTTGTTGCCATGTGAATGGAAACATTTCTATTTCTGGGGTAGCTCAGCAACTAGTATAAATGTTTTCAGAATGCAAAAGCGGATCATTAGAACTATTATGAATGTAAGAACTAGAGACTCATGTAGGGAACTATTCAAAAACCTAAAAATATTACCCATGTACTCACAGTATATATACTCTATAATTCTGTTTGTTGTAAATAATAGAGACCTTTACAGTTCAAACTATGAGACCCACAATCTTAATACTAGACATACCACAAATTTGCACCTTCCCACATCACGCCTAACAATCTTTCAGAAAGGACCATATTACTTTGGTATTAAGGCTTATAACCACCTGCCATCCAGAATCAAGAGTATGAGTAATGATGTGAAACTATTTAAACTGAGGCTAAAAAGATTTTTTCTTTCAAATTCTTTTTATTCCTTAGAGGAATATTTTAACCATGTATGTAATTAAAATTGGTAATTGTACCCCTGATATGTTAATTTTATATCATTACCTAAGTATTTTCTATCAAGTATTTTCTATCAATTATTGTTTTATAATTTTGATCATTTTATGCATTGTACATTAATATAAATCTTTTAACTGTCTTAATGACAAAAGTATGTAAGTTTTTGTATTTTCCGTATTTTAATCTATTAGCTTGTGACAAAATCCATATCCACTGGTCAGCTGTACCATAAGGATCAACGGATTGTATAAATGTAAATAAAAAAAATAAAAATACATGTTGCATAGGAATCGACATGACTATGTATGCAATGCATTGCTTCTTCAGTCATAGTCGTTGCTGTGGAAACGTCCAGCACAGCGCCTTCTGTGTTTCCACAGGAATATGTTCAGCAAACCCCTGCCCAGCAGATGGGCAGATTGCAGCTTTCAGACATGATTTCACAATACTTAATAAAAGTTCCTCCATTTATGCACAGATCAGTGGTATGCCATGCCCTCACATAAGTTTATACACCGTTTGATGTTTCTCTAATATCTTTAAAATTTTATTAATATTTAAAAATCCAAATTGCCAATAACTTTACTTATATTTCAGGCTGTCTATACGAAACATTGCATACATTGGTTTAAGAGACATTGATTCATATGAAAGACTTGTCATCGATAAATTTTCAATAACTGCTTTTGGAATGGAAGATGTTGAAAGATATGGCATAATTGAAGTGACAAATATGGCTTTGAGGAGAATTGATCCAAATAATAACTTACCACTCCATGTGAGTTTTGATATTGACAGTCTGGATGCCTTAGAGGCCCCAAGTACAGGGACTCCAGGTAAAGTATTGTAATTCAAACACTGACACATTTTCATTGCATCTAATGCCAGTTGCACACTACCGGTGTTTCACTATAAGAAGCAAATATTTACATGCTTCAATCCTATAGCTGGTTTTGGTTTAGGTGACCAGACTTTTCGGTGGTTGAACCCAAAGGTATTTGGCATGTCCCCTTGATGATTTTCAACAAATTTCAAATTGTCCCAGAGATGACTTTCAACAAATTTCAAATTTTAAAAGTTTATGGAGGTTAAATTATAACATCATCAAATTTCATAATTTACATTAATTATACTTCCCAGGATGTTACTCTTACACAGTATTTTATTTTTGTTATGGATCCAAGAATTCTGTAGCATTTTAATGTATAAAACATGAGAGTAAATAATTTTATGATTTTTCTTGTGTATTATCAAATATCATGGTGCCCCCCCACACACACCGTCATTGCAACTCGTATATGTCACAGTCATTCCCTCATTTCTCTTTAATATTGTAAAACCTGAACATTTTACAGTGTGTTCAATCATCGAGGAAACCATGGGAGCAGCGTGAGTCAGATACAATATCTCTCACAGATTGCCACTGTAACAGCCGATAGCAGAATGAGTCATCAGCGCTGATAAATGCACACACTCTCGCTAGTGTAGAGTGGATGGATCGTTTCTCTGTGACTGTTCCCTCACACGTTTCTGTACATGCACACATTATAAGAATACCATAAAAAGATAACACAAACTTACCTTGCTTTATAACAGGTGCTAAATGTGACCCCATTCTGCTTGCAAACATGCCTTGCATCACACAAATAAATTATGCGATACTTTCTGAAGTTGGTCCACAGTAATTGAACTAATTACGCATGTTATTTCATTCTGTTATATTTATGCGGGAGAAATTTGATTAATTTTGTGGCTGTGAAAGCAGATCCTAGCAAAACACTGGTTTTCTGTGCTAAGTGTCTTAACAATTTTCGAGGAGTGATCTGTAGTTGTGTTACAATATCCCAAACTTTTTCTTCAGTCAGCACAATCCTCTTCAATTGCTTCTTTATGTCACATAACGAACCACTTTTTCAGAAGCTTGGATACACACGACTTTGTGGGAACTGGAGCATCAGGATATTTACGATGAAACTTACTGATACACTTTCTGTAATTTCTTTTTTCCTTGGAAAAATTTTGCCACAAACACGCACTATTCAATAGTGAACTGCATTTGAGTATAATTGTCGACAGTCTATCAAAATCTCTAATACAGACTGACTATTACTGTGACTTAACTGCAATGACAAGATCACGTCAGCCGACCATGTGTGTTTATCAGCAATAATGACTCATTCTGCTATCGACAGTTACAGCTGCAATCTGGGAGGTATGCTGGGCCGGCTCAGTGGTGTTGCAAAGTTTCCTCCTTGATTGAATGCAGTGTAGAAACAAAACACTATTTTCTAAGTGATACTCATCTCCAAAATTTGTTTACTTCATTCTGTGATTTAGGAAATCCAGTATATGTAATCAAATGGGTTGTTAAAAGGGCCATAATATCAAAATGCAGAATTGTATACATTACTTTCATGCTGTGCTTTGTTATTTTCTTCAGTTTTCTTCATGCACATGATGCAAGTGGTGCAGTGGTATGGAAGAAAATGAAATACATTGTCACTTAACATCAAATATTTTTATAAGGTTCCTCATGGAGGAAATGTCAACAATTTTGTAGCAAACATCCTAATGGCATAGTGCTCTGCAAAGTAACAATTTACGAATAGTGTCCAAATTTCTGAGCTGCAGGATCAGTGCTATAGAAAAAGGCAAAATATAAGAGACAGATTCTAACTAAAGAAAACCTTCATGATGTTGATGCTCAGTTGGAAGCAAACCTGATAAAGTCATTACATCTCTTGGTTCTTCAACTTAAATTTCAAAAGAACAGTTCACATACAAAAAGAAAATAGACTTTAACGGATTCTGACGATGGTGTATGCTGTATAGAACTATAAGGTTCTCAGTTGGGCTGAGTAGGTCTAGCTTGCCCCATCCACCTGAGGATGGAGACAGATATAGTCTCCGAAACGTTGTGGTTTTTTTGCCTTATATATACCAGACAATGGATAGAGTCCAAAATAAACCGTATAATTCTATACCAAAAAAATGTTAAAATTACAGGCTTACAAACCAACACAGACTTGTGCCACCACACTGTGAAAAAAGGATTTGATGGTACTGATAATATTAGGAATTTTATATTGTTATGTGTGGGGTGGTACACGTGTCAAGAATGACGGGTTCTAGTTTGGATGATTGGATTCATTAGCACTTTGGCTACAATCTCTCTGCATCACATTTACTACAGTGCTATCGCTGATTTACACTTTATAATTCACTGTAATACACACATTAGTTCTCTACTGGGAATACAATTAAAAAACAGGAACTAACGCTTCAGATCACTCCAGATATTACTTACTTATGGAGTTGGGCTCTTCTTGAGGAGAAGCCAAATTTGCAGCTACTCAAGAATTTCCCAGCATTTTATGGAACCTGAAGGTTCATTGCCGTGTTCACAAGAGCCCTCCACTGGTCCCTATCCTGAGCCTCCAAATATTACACATAAAGAAAATCTTCAAATCACACTTTAAATCCTCACAGGCCAACCTCCTGCATTCTTCTGTACTCCTGGTTCCAATTCACTCTGTTCATGTGCTTCCACCACACTATTTCTTCTTCTAAGACAAACTCAGAACTCCATCACTCGCTAGAAAGTCAAGTCAAAGTCAAAGTCACATTGTGACCGATGGTCGGTCAGTAAGTCTTGGTGTCGAGCTCCATCTGGGGCTCATGACCAGATATTAATTATTACCGTTTGACAGTTATGGTCTTATTTTTGTGGGGTGCCCTCTCTGATGAGAGGATGGGTCTGTCTTTCGCATTTGTTGCAAGCGAGCTTTTTCTCGGGTCCAAGTCCCTTGGGACTTGCGACCATATTTTACTGTCTCAGATTTGAGACTTCCCTATTTGTCACCTCCTACGACTCGCAAGGTCACGGTGGAGGTATTCGACCCCATCTCACTCTCCTTATATAACCACAGCACAGACCCAATGGAAAACACTGTTTGCTCTACTGTTGCATGCGCATATCACAGGGTGTCTATTGAGCCATTGCCTGGCAATGCATTGACATGTCTCATTTTAATGGTCTTCTTGACACAACTTACACTTTATTCTTAGATTACCTGAATAGTCACAGAAAATTCCCATGTTATTTATGTAGTGCCTTTACACAGTGTGAAGACTGGAGTTAATGTGCATTTAATTCTCAAAGATTAACAGGATATATATTTTATGAAAAACAGTAAATTCTAAACATTATGTGACATTAATCTGAGACTTATTTTGATGAGTAGACTTAAAAGTAGGCATGTGGGCATTTCATGCAGGATACTGGCACACTGCATACAGCTAATACTAACTCTATGTATGAACTAACTGGGCTTCAGCATTTACCCAATTTAAATCCGTGTGACTTTTATTTTTTGGGTACACTTAAAGATAAAATTCATGAATAATACTCACTCTTTGTATGAAATGAAATTTGGCAAGAAATTTCAGCAGTCCTCAGAGAACAACTTTATTGAGTATGTAGAAACATTCTGAGGTAAGTATCTGGCATAAAAGCAGGAGGTTAGTACTTTTGAACTCTGCTGTAAATTAAGGTAATCTGTAATTCAGGGGAAAATGAGGCTGCAGAACCTTGGCACCTATTGTGCTGCTGTTTGGGAAGCTTGCCATAAAAGCATACATCAACCAGTCTACTCCTAAATTAGATGCTTTGTATTTCAAGTAACGCCTCTTGACCATTTCTCTAATAAGCTCTTTCCATTCTCTACTATCCAATTTGCATATTAGCTACCACATGTGGAAGCACTTTTCCTGAAGTAGGAATGTTAATCAAATATGAATGCAGTTAGTAGAAGTGTGAACCTGAATTTACTTTAGCAGACTTACTACACTACTAATATTCATAATTATTTTAGGAGATTTATTATTTTGTACATATTATTGCAGTTTTGTCTCATTTTTTAACAGTACGTGGAGGCTTAACACTACGAGAAGGTATTCAGATAATGGAGGAATCATACAGAACACAACGATTGTCAGCAGTAGACTTGGTGGAAGTTAATCCAAGGCTGGGTTCTCCATCTGATGTGAGGATAACACTTGAGGCAGCAAAACACATTATCAGGGCAGCTTCAGGATATAGCAGACGAGGACATTCACCTGAAAACGTCTGTGATCTTCCTCAACAAACATTTCCTTCTGTTTCAACATCAGCACATAATAGTAAATAAAATTTAATGTAGGAGACATTATTAAACATCTTTGTATTGTATTCCTTATCTTCATTCTTTAAATTACATTTCCAGTTTTTGCATGTTTATTCTTATATTAGAGCAATATGACAATATAGATAAAATCCTTGCATGAATTGTTCTGAAAATTAAGTGTTTTTGCAAATTTAGCTTAACCTCTTTCTTGTTACTGCCATGTCTAGGAGCACATCTCCCCTTAGCTGCTCCAAAGTTATGGGAAATAGAACTGATATATATACAGGAATTAAGGAAGCATGAAATTATTGACACGTTGGATTTTCAGATTGAGGAAATTACCAAAACCTGGAAGCATATTAGAGGTAAAGGTAGTACCTAAATTTCAGCAAAAGAGAGCTTATAGCTGGAGTGTTAGAGATCCATTTCATGTGGACTTTTGCAGTTTTTATTTTTCTCAGAGGTGAATATTTTGCAAGAAACACCAAAAAATATTTGTAATGTTGGTCTCAAAATTAATTAAAAAGAAAAGCACATTGAATGTATTTAATATAAGTGTAGTACTTATACAGAGGTTCATCAAAATTTACCAAAGGACTCTTAATTTTTCAAGTCCATTTAAAGGTAAAATAGCAACACTCTCTCTGTAAGAGGCCCATATGGTAGACAGCTCACAGATGAGTGAGGTTGTAGCCTTATGCACAAGCTATCCTGTACCCCCAGGAAGATTCCTGGTACTCATTTCTGTTACAGGCTGAATCGACCCTAATACCATAGTGTGGCTGGAAGGATTAAGTAAATTGAAAAATTCAGTGACTTCATCAGGAATCACACCCGCTACCCTTCTGGCTTGTGGCATAGCGCCTCAACCAACTAGACTACTGCATGCCCTCACAAGTTCATTTAGGCACTTGAAATATGTATCACGAACAATATTAAACAAAAATCAGAAGAAAAAATTGAGAAATTTTTATGTTGCTCTACCATAGTTCTGTAGCTTTTATATTTAGATAAACAGATGGGCAGACATGACAAAATAAGTGATCTTCCAAATGCACCTAAAACTAAGTGTAATGGTGAGTGAATTCTATTTTGTCATTCACCCCATTTTCACCTGACTTGAGCACTTGAAATGCCAAATTGATTCTTCTAGCGTGCTTGTGATTGGCAGTTAATGTTGTCATTTTTTGAAGCAGAAGTAACTGATTGGATGATGATGTCATGCTGTTTATACAAGATTATAAATATTAGAGGTTTGGGCAGGATGTAACATGTTGGAAATAATTTGTCACAATGACAGTTTAGTCTTATAATAGCAGGACAGAAAGATGAACAACCTGTCTCCACCCTCCTACTCGGTAAGCACTGTAACTTCATACATTAAGTAACATTTGAGGTTCCCGGAGTGTTGGTCATGAAGAGATCTGTCGAACGTCAATCAACGTTTTGGAGGCAGATATGAAAGCAGGTTGCAAGCAGAGCTTTCATGCTAGTTTCTTGCTTGGTTTATTCTTCGACCCTGATGATGGAGACGATGTGTCTCTCCAAAATGTCAGTTGACTTTCAATGGACTGTACAGTGTTATATCCCAGAAGACAGAATTCTCTGTATATTAAATGTTTTCCAAATTAAGGTTCAATTACTTTAACAATTTAGGTTCTGCAAGACAAAAGTCAGAAATCATAAATAACCCCAAAACAGAGTGTTTTCTCACTGATCTATCTCAGATTCATCATATGTTGTTATAATTCAAATCGTTTACAGTGTAAATAAATGTAGATTAGGGAAAGTTCTCTGCTCCTTTCATTAATTATCTGCAAGGCTAAGCTGTTGGGCTTACCTCGTATACTCACTGCATAACTTTATCTCTTTACTATCTCTGGAAACCATAACATCAGTCAATGATATTCACGCTACTATGTGATGACAAACTGAAAGATAGGTGGTTCATAGCCAGCAGCGTTATGTCCATGATTTCTCTGCACCAAAGCGGTCAGTTATAAGTGTTCTATAAATACAACTGCCAATCAAAACTCCATGTCTAGCCACTAACATGTTACAATAGGTAGAAAACAAAGAAATTTAAATACATGTAGCTATTTTTGTACAACTTCAAAATGAACATAACATAAGAAAGCATGGAAGCAAACCGTACTGAAATTGTATAATGGCAATCCACTCACTGTTACACAGTATGGTAGCAAAAATAGGATACAAAACGAGCACAACTAAGAAGAATGTAAGCAGCTGAAATGTGGTACCTGAGAAGAGTAGCAGGATAGTCAGTGGTATATAAAAGTACAATAGAGATATAAGAACATAACTAGGAATACAAAGTCTTCATGATATATAAGATTTGAAGTTTTCATGGCGGTGACTATGAAGAAAGCCATCTTCTGGGTTGTGGCACCGTGTAGATTACATGATCATACAGTACAGAAATAACTGGAAAGATGATATTGAGTACGACCTCTATTGTGAACTGCAGTTAAATGCAAGTGGCGAAAATAAAAAATGTGGCAGTTTGAACAACAGGCAAACATCAGGTTCTGACAAAAACTAGGCAGATCTCCTAGTGAAACATTTGGCTGTTGCTAGACAACAATGCCCCTGCACATCCCTCTGTTCTTGTCCAAGAGGAACTGAGAAGGCAACAGGTCACCGTTTTGCCATACCCTCCATACTCACCTGATCTCGCACCATGCGATTTCTTTCTCTTTCACCGCTTGAAAGCAAAGCTACGTGGTCGTAGATTTCAGTCATCCGAGGAGGCGGTCATTGCCACAAGAGATGCTGTATGGGACTTTCCTGCCAATATGTTTCAGGAATGTTTTCGGCAGCTATATCAATGTTGGCAGACTTGCATAGCGGCCAACAGCAACTGTTTTGAGGGCTGATGTGGATCTGTGTAAGTGTATGTGAATACCTTGTGTTATGTCGTGGTGGGGTGGGGCGTGAAGGTATCCCACCGCTGCCACCACTGTTACGTCGTGGTGGGGTGGGGCGTGAAGGTATCCCCACCGCTTACACCACGGTTATGTTCTTACGTCCTTACGACAGGGGTGGATTGGTAATCCCACCCTGTCTCCACTGTTCTGCCACTGTTACGTCGAGGTGACAGGGGGGGCGTGGAGGTATCCCCACTGCCACCTCCTCTTTTGCAGTCACAGGGATATGGACTAAGGAAACGTCTGAATAGCGTTCTCTATCGTTGCTTCATGGCTAGGGGCTCTCTGTTCACCGGGCTTGTCAGGAGGGCGCAGGTGCGAAATGTGGAAGGGGAGAAAATCACCACAAAACCCACATCCTCACCCTATGCTACACTATTTTAGTAAAAACACAATCAATATACAGTTATATACATTTGGGATTCTCACACTGAAAGGGCCGACTGGTGTCGGGTTACACATTACACTTGGCTACCTCGCATCACTCGGTTGATCATTCTTACGCCCTGTACACTTTTTCTAACGATCCTAACTCTAGTCCCATTGGAGGAGTTACACTTTAATAATATTACAATTATTGCGCATGGCGATAAGAGTAGTTTCCACTTACTTTGCGTTGAGTCTGCAGACGGATGGCGTTGCCGGGAGCCGAGTCGGTGTCCATTTGGACAGAGCCTACGGCCGCAAATGGCCAAAATTACTGTTAGAATAATCCCCTTCCTAATTTGGTCTCTGGGTTATATACCCCTATGTATGCTTACTCATTATTTTCCCGGAGGGTGTAAGTCCGCCTCCAATGACGTCTTATCCCAAGGTGGGTGATCTCGTTGGCTGGGATCCTAAGGGGACACACCCCCTTCTACTGCTAAACCGTTTGGTTGACA